CAGGTCCCCCCTAGCGGGAAATTTGACGTGTGGCCACCGTTGGATGCGTGGACCGACGTGTGGCCAACCTTTCGCGGTGTCAAATGGACCCTGCGAGGCACTCCGAAATGGAAGACGCAAAGGGGACCCGACCCACGCGCGCCTACAAATACAAGCGGCGCCCGGGCCGTGAACGCCGCTTTCTGCGTTTTTTGCTGGGGAGATGCTGCCGGACGGACGCCTTGCACCACCACTGTCGTCAACACCATCGCCCCGCACAGCTGGAGCACCATAGGTAGCGAAGCGAACGGACAGCCGTTCTAAACCCTGGTCGCTACCTTTTCTACGACGCATCTCCCTCCACCTCCCTAGTCACTGCCTGCGTCATCTTCGACGTCGCGCGTCGACATCCCGTCGACTCAACGACGACATCTCGATTCTGAATAAGCGCATCCGACGCTCCACGCATTACCATCGCCTACACAAAGCGCACGGCACAAGGTCGCATCATTCCTGTCTCGATCGACGTCGGGATCCGCACGCATCTCCACTCGACACTCTCACAAGGTGAGTGCGCACGAGCCCGGGACGTGTGTGTTTTTGTGAGCGCTTGTGGGCGGATTTTCTGCTGACACATCTGCGCTGTTTGGACGAGTGTGTGTTTGCATGTGCGCGTGCGGTTGTGTTTGTGTTTGCTTGTGCGTGACGAGTGTGTGTTTGCATGTGCGCGTGCGGTTGTGTTTGTGTTTCCTTGTGAGTGACGAGTTTCTGTTTGCATGTGCGCGTGCAGTTGATTGTGTGTTAAAGTGTTTTTTTTTTCGGGTTTGCGTATGTAGTATCTCTACGTGAGGGGCGTGTTTGTGTACGAGGCATGTGTGCGCGTGTGTGTGCGTGTGTGTGTGCGTGTGTCTGTTCACGTGCGTGTGTGTTGTTTCGCCGATTGAACACGCGGAGGTTGTCGCCAAGGTGTGCAGCCATGGTTGAATGAATTGTTTCGCATCCCGAGGGTACTCCTGATGTATTCTGGCGTTGAGCGATGTGCGTGCGTAATATCCGGCGATTGCGTACGCTCTAATGAAGATCTGTAATCTGTTGTCCATCTATCCATCTATTGTATCTCTGTCGCCGCGTGTTTCGATCAATCATACTTTGGGCAGATCGAGGGCTAGGACATTCAAACATCAAACAGAAACAATGGAGTGTGGTCAGTGGTCAGGATGTGATGAACTGATGAATGCCGATAGCTCCGATCGAACGCGTTGTGGCCAGTCACGAAACATAAACACCCTGCGCTCGATCGGATGTTTCTCCATTCATCATTTTCATACACAACAAGAGCACACGAGATCCACACGTTTGTGTGTGGATCTCATGTGATCTTGTTGTGTATGAAACTAATGAATGGAGAAACATCCGATCGAGCGCGGGGTGATTATGTTTCGTGACCGGCCACAGCATGTTCGATCGGAGCTATCGGCATTCGCTTGTTCATCACATCATGACCACTGACCACACTCCATTGTTCCTGTTTGCTGTCCCAACGCAGTAGCCGTCGATCTTCCCAAAGGATGATTAATCGAAACACGCGGCGACAGAGATACAATAGATGGGTAGATAGACAACATTCATTGATTTGATAGTATTCATTATTGATTATAGACAGTCCAGAGCACAAGATAGATAATATTCCTTGATTATATGCAGTCCAGATCGACGGAGCACAATCAGATCATTCTCGACATTGTCACCGCGTGTTTCGATCGGCCGTTCATTTGGCAGATCTCATGAGCTGAGTAACTGATGCATGATGAAAGCTTTGATCAAGCGTGAGGCGACCGATCACGAAACATAATAACCGCGCAGCAGATTGGATCTTTCTCCACTCATCAGATCAATCATCCACACGTGAGTGGTGACATCGGCGATACCACACGTGAGTGATGAACAGGACCATCACGATTGATCACGATACCGCCGCTGATCTGCCGAATGGATGATCAATCAAAGCAGGAGGTGACATTGTCGGGACAGTAGACGCACCCAGTAGACCAATCGCCGAACACGAACAGAGAGCTCGCGATCGGTCGATTGATCGCGTGTGCTGTCTCAACGTTGTCACCGCGTATGTGTTTTTCGCCAGTATCAAATGTAATAACAAAACACACGTGGCACCATGCGCGAACGACCAACCGGGCGGTGAGCGACCGATCCATCACACTCGTTGATGTACCCCGAGCGAACAGTAGACTGGTCAATAGATCCATCACTACCAACATCACTGAACGACTGTTCGGACTGCGATCGGACGACCGATTGATCCAGCAGTTTACCAACCATACAGCCGAACGTGTGTTTGCGGTGCAGCCGTGGCATCACCCTCTGCGCGATTGCCCAACCGGCAGGCGTACGACCGATCCAGCAAACGTACGACCGATCCAGCACGAGTAACTGATTAGTTGATTGATCGACTTTTCAGTTTGTGGTTGTCCAATTAGCTGATTGATCGGCCGCTCGCCGACCAGGGCACCGACATGCCAGCCGAGCTGTTCACTTTTATCGGCCCAATTGCACTGCATTCCACCTGCCTCCTCGTCCATTGGTCGTACGCAGCATGCAAGGCAATTGGTCCACCAGACGGTAGAAACCCGTGAAAAAGGTCGATCCCTGTTCGGGAATGGACAAAAGACAGTTCGTGACAACGTTGTTGCACATCGAATGTTGCTGGCCATCGAACCTTGTTTGGCATCGAACCTGGCGCCCCATCAAACCTCGGCGGGCATCGAAATGTTGGCGGACATCGAATGCCACTGGACGGCAAACCTCGTCGGTCATCGAAACTTGTTGGTTATCCAACAACGAACGTTTTGCAGCCACCACACGACAGCGGGGGACCTGTGAAAATGTGAAGGCGAGTTTGACAGACAACTGTTTCTCTCCCACGACATTTCGCCAAGTACGGATCCCAGCGAACTTCAGGTTCTTGCCTTTCGTAAAACCCAACTCGAGTTGCAACCCCAGTGCACAACCACAGCAGTGGACCTGTGAAAATGTGAAGTCCGCCGGGATCCGAACTTCAAGAAAGAATGGAAAGGCGAGTTTGATAGACAGCTGTGTCTCTCCCACGGCATTTCGCCAAGTTCGGATCCCAGCGAACTTCAGGTTCTTGCCTTTCATAAAACCCAACTCGCGTTCCAACCCCAGTGCACAACCACAGCGAGGGACCTATGTCGTTTGATTGCTCGCCAACTATGTTTACGAGTGTAAGCGTCCCCGTGTGTGTCGTTTGGTATGTGCGCGTGGTGTGTAGGGCGCGTAATGGATGGGACCTTCTCGACACCACGAATCTTTGAGTCGATCTTCTCGACACCACAAACCATGAGTCCCGAAACGCACATTCGCTTGGCAGAAGCGTTTCCTCCTTGCGCGAGATCAGTGCGACATTTCAACGGTGTGACTACGATCCACGGAGCGACCGCAGAGGACTTCGACGAGGACCCCTGGATGACCGTCGTCCCATGCAGGCATGCGCATATTGACGATTGGTGCGATGGGAATTGGGCCACGATGGAGAGTCGCTGCCCTTGGGCAAGCCAATACAAATTCGCCACCATGTTGGAATTCGGGAACCTCATCCCGCTGTCCGACGCTATCCTTGGACACAAGTTCCTGAACCACATGCGCAGAGCACTGGGCTGCATTAGCTGCCATTTCAGCCGCCTCGAATGCCACTACGTCAGGTCGTCGCCACGAACTTGGGGAGGCTCGCAGAAACAAGAGTTGCTGGACTGCGCTCGTCACTGCTCGTTCCTGGACCAGTACCCGCTTCGGTGCCCCGGGAATTCTCCACAAGTTGTGTCATACTGTTATGTGCGATTGAAAGTGTCCGGGTCTGATTTCGCCAGAGTTCTACGTGTCGCTGTGTCGAACAAGAGCAGGAAACTCGTCGATGCAGTTGTGCTTGTATCACACAACGAGGTGGTAATTGAGGGGTCCAAATTCGTGCCGACGCGCGGGCCTGAACGTGTAGATGGGTGGCGAGATTTGGTTATAGGATGGCCGGTCGAAAGCTTTTCGTTGCATAGGGAGGTCGAGGAGAAAATGTCCGTCATATGGGACTGTATAGGGAACTCCTTAGCACGATCGGGAGTGTTTGTTAGGATGAAATACATGTCCGTCTTTTCGGAAACTATAACGGTCGACAATCCGCTGGTCCGCGTTTACGGATCGTCAATGAATGTTTTGTATGGCTACGGTTCGCGACCTCGTCCCCGGGGAACCGCGATTGTCACAAGATCTGGACGTGTGGTTGGACATCCTGCTTAAGCGAAAAGAAGGGAGACGAGTGAGAGGCTTGTGTGCTGCCGAACATAGCAGAGTTTTAGTAGTGGAGAAAGGCGCGGGAGGCAGCAGTTGCTAGTGCACGCCGTCTCTTTCCGTGTCGCGCCCTCTTGAAGTTCGGATCCCGGCAAACTTCGCGGTTTGGCCTGTGCGTCCTGCCGGCCTCCGAGCTTCGAGTGCTGAGCGGAGTCGGAAACGGTCCTGCTACCAATTACGCCTGGACTCAATGACTGCTGCCATCAAAACCTGCGGTCGGCTGTGGAACCCCGGGGTTTTTCCTCGTGCGCCTTGGTCGAACACCGTCTTGCGTTTGGACTCGGAGTTGCTCCAATGTTTCTCTCTGTCTCTCTTTCTTGCGTCCTCCTGAAGTTCGGATCCCAGCGAACTTCAGGAGTCGCCTGTCTATTGGCACAGACGGTGGTCTTCCAGATCCCTCGTGGATTCCGGCAACAGCCAGAGTCCAAGGACCTATGAAATGTTGACACGGCTGTCGCTTTCAAGCTTGGGTTCATCCAGTGCCAAGTTGTGCATAACGCGAGATTGGAAATCAGAAGCAGTTCGGATTAGGGCGGACTTCTCTATTTCAACCAGCCTTTCATTCGGGTGTGGCCTTCCTGGGTCGGGGTTGAATTTAACAACCTTAGACTTACGGATCGCGTGTCCTTGACGCCGTTTCTGCCTGTCGCATCGTCCTGGAGTTCGGATCCCGGCGAACTTCACGTTTCGGGAGGTGTGTTGCTTTGTTGTGAGTCTTCGTGGTTCCGGGTGGTTTGCACAACCCGCCTGACAACGGTTCCGGAGTGCGTTTGGTCGAGCACGGTTCTGGGACGCTGGCTCTATCTCACCCGGAGAGCTTCGAACATGACCGTCAGTTGATTCCTGCGAAAAATTCCCGAAATTTGCTTCTGCCATCTCTATCTCACGCACCGTCCTTTAGCTCGGATCTCGGCGGACTTCGCGATTTTCACTATGCGTTTGTCTATCTTTGTTCTACGGGGTGCCCCGTGTGCCGCATAAACAGCGCGTGATCCCATGCGCACTGCAAGTTTTCACTTGCTTCTCTCTCTCTATCTGCCTCTCGGTCTTTTGCCCACTTGAAGTTCGCATACCGGCAGACTACCCCTTCTCACCGTTCCGGATTTGGGTGCCCGGGTGTCTTCGTGTGCGGCTTTCGCTGCGCTACAGCCTGCGTTGACATGCGGCAGCGAGTGTTCTGTTTTTCCTGTGTTTTGACAGACGTTGACTTCATGGTGTGCTGTTCGATTTGCGTTGTCGTTCGCAGACAGTATGTCTTCTTCCAAGGGTGAGATGGAGCCAACAGGGACCTCCGGGAAAGAATCACGAAAAGATTCCACGAGGCGGTCGTCTACTGCCACGCAGGGGTGGTCGAACCATTCGAGGTCGAAATGGTTCATCGACTGGTGTTGTGGAGACGCTTCCAACCTCACTGCGCAGCCATGTGGTCCTGTCATCTTCATCGATGACAGCAGAAGGCGTAAAGTGCTTGGTGCCATCTTGCGGTGGGAGGACGCAAAGGGGGGCCGGCGACATTTCTGTATGCAGAAAGTTTATGGCGCCAAGGGCAACGTCGTTGCCAATTCAAAAGGGACGTTGTTGGACCTCAAATTGTGTGAGGGGTTCGGAGCGGGTGCTGTGAACACCCCGTTCTACACAGAACTCGTTCTCGTGGGCAGTTTTGTTTTGGCGCGTGAATTTTTCGACATGTTGGAGGACAAAAACATCGCTCTAGACGTCCTATGCGACGTCAACCCATCCCTGGAGCTGTCGTTGCCGTTGAAGCTGTGCAGCGGTTGCGAGTCAAGCGGGGCAGCGGCGGAGGGCGGTGATCTGGGTTCTGGTCCCGCCACTCAGCTGCACCGTGGGGAGAGCCGAGGTCAGTTTGACGACAGCGAGGATGAGGGGACTGCTCCGCCGTTGAGTGACACGTGGCGGTCTGTGTTGTCTATTCCTGGGGTTCAGACTGATGCTCCGGTTCAGCGAAAGAGTACGGGGCCTGCAGTACAGGTGGCGGCCTATTCGGAGGTCGACTTGGAGGCGAGCGAGGGACAGGGTGTGGAGGAGGTGGACGCGGGAGGCCTGGGCTCGCAAGGAGCTCCGCAAAAGAGGAGGGGGGATCATCGAGACGAGTTCGCCGGTTCTACGAAGAAGTTAAAGAGCAAGGCCCCCAGAACTGCGGGGGAGAAACGCAAGGGGACCAAGGGGGAGCAGGGCCGGCAGGTTGCCAAACGACCGTCTTCGAGACAGAAGCAGCCTGAGTCTGGACCGTCTTCTCCACCGACAACAGGGACTCCCATCGACGTCAACGCCGGGTACTTCCTCGAGTACAAAGACGGCGTTCGGACAAAGCGGGAGTTCGACATTAGCCCTGCGCAGGTCGCCGACCTCGGGGACTGGGAGGACCTGTACAACCAGCGGTCCCTGGATCCCATGCTCGTGGAAGGGATCAAAGAAGCGATGCGGTTGGAGTTCGAAAACAAAGCGCAGTCTTACGATTTACCAACCCTGAAACTGGCGTCGCTGGGGCTTGATAAACCGACTCCGGGGACCAAGGCAGAACGTCTGAGGCCGGAGGATTGGAGGGATGAGCTGGCGGGACAATACTACTGCTACGCGGTGTGTGGGCAGCACAACGCGGCTGCAGCGAGGTCGCTGCTCAGCAGCGAGGTGGCCAGGAAATATAATTTCGAGCGGTGGCCTGCACGAATGGTCTACTTTTCGGACGATGACTTCGAAGGGTACTTCCTTGTCAGTTCCCAGGACAACAAGAAGGAACTGAAGGCGCCCCCACGACAGCTGAAGCTGTCAATGAGGGACATTAGGTGGCAGTGGAAGCGCGCCGGTTGCCCGCGTGCTGTTATGGGGAACCCCATCGGAAAACAGGATCAGGTCCGGAAGTGGCGTGAATTTTGTAATGTCGCACTCAACATGACACCGCACAACAACTTGTGGATTCTCGCAGATCAGCAGGGCGAGGAGGCCATCAGGAAACAAGGCGCTGCCCTGCGTTCCTATTTCCCGCTGGCGATGGCAGGGGAGAACGTYTGGAAACTGGCCGTCGASTTTTTCGAGAAATGGGAGACAGGCAGATTGCTCGGASACGACGRCGCRAAGTGGATCATGCGGAAGAAGAAAGTCAAAAACGTGAAGCCTGGGGTTACATACATCCATAATGACAAGCTGGGCAGGAAGGAGGTCGTGTACAACGTCCCTGTGGACCTGCCGACAAAGAAAGGCAAAAAGGAGAAAGAGGAGGGCGAGTGGTTCATGCAAGTGCCAGAGCCGGACTCGCATTGTTGGAAAACGATGGAGTCGCTGACAGACAACGAGAAGTGTCGCGTCCTGAAGAAGGTGCTCGCTTGCGAGGTGGTTTGGGTACAGGCCGGCTCCCCAGCGTTGGCGAAGCTCGAAAAGCTGAGCGTCCACGAGGTGGTGAATTTGGTGAAGTGTGACTGGGTGCTGGTGCGTCTGTGGAACTACTACCAGTTCAAGCACGACAAAAGGCCGGACGCGGATTGGAGCCAGAGGTTCCCGTTCCTGAAATCAAGGTCCGCAATTTTCAGACAGTTTGAAAGTCGTGGTTTGGATGCTGAGTTGTGGGACGGGAGCACGAAATACGTCACTGACTCCTCGCTGTTCAAGGACTGCCCACCCTACATGGGCTGCGACGACGACAGATCGATCGAGGCGACGGAGAAGCTGGCCGGTCACAAGAAGCTGCCCGTCGACTGGAGGAATAAGGTCCTGTCCGTGTTGACTGGCAGTAGACTGAAGAGTCGAGATATCGCGCTCGCCGAAGGCATTGTGCACATAAAATGGAATGACACGGGCAACGTGACATCCATCGCGCCATTCGGCAACGACCCCTTGGAGGCAGACATAAGGAGTGCGGAGGTGAAGGAGGCAGTGGTTGCCACAAAGAGTCACACGTTCGTCCTCGATCTGTGCGAACCAGTGGACCTGAAGCTTTGGAAACTGCAAGCGTTCGACCCTCTGGATTCCCAACTCTAGACGTGGTGTCCGTCGCATTGGACGCTCGTTGTTTTTGTCTCGCGGCAGCAGAACCTCTCCTTTCTGGCCAGCATGAACCATCTTTCTTTTGTCAAGCTGCTGGAAGGGAAGTGGGTGAGGAGGAGTCAACAGAAGAAAAGTTTCCCCGTCGAGAACAATTTGTACACGGAAGACGACCGGATGTACATACTCTTCAAAGACGACGATTTGCGGGCCAACACGTCCGTCGTCTACGAGGGGAAACTGTCGGCAGGCGCCGCTGCTGCAGTGCGGGTACCACAGAAGGTTACGCAAACGGATGTGTCCGACATCCCGTTCAACGCTTGCGTTTGGTCGCATACCTCGCCTGCACGTCGGGGCATTGTGTACGGGGACATGGAACGCAACCCCGCCCAATTCGTTCAGCTTCTCGAATCCGTCACCAAGAAGGGGGAGGGTGTCGTCTTCCTCGGAAAGCCACACGCGCGGTCAGTCTGGGAAGTACTGAAGGCAGGACGACACGTCATCGCGATGGAAGGGAACTCCGAGCTCTTGCAATTTACAATTGATCTCGTCAAAAGTGAGGTCAATTCGGGTGCCCACAATTGTGAGGTTATGGTCGTCACCGAGATTCGGGCTCGCGTGTGGAACAACAAGACGGACATGTGGTTCAAGTTGAGTGCGAGGAAGCGGAACAAGATATACGACTTCTTGTTCCTGCAAACGCGGCCGAAGAGAGACACCGACGCCGAGTACGTGCGCCGCAAGGACCACATGTTCACGTTGCTCGACAACTACCATGGTGCCTTCTGCATGAACGCGAAGACCTTCCTCGAGAGGTTGCAGTCCCTTTACTTCGTGGAGTCAGAGGAGGAGCTGACGTTCGGCAGTTACTCCTCCTTGATCTCCACGGAAGATGAGGAGACCACCAGCATCGAGTTCGACGCGACCGTAGACGAGGAGGGCAGCGACACCGAAAGCCTCGACCTGCAGTACGACCAACATTCCGCGCAGCACGCTACAGGGTCGTCCTTGGCAGGTCCATCGACAAGCCCAGCGTCCCTCGTGTTACCGATGGCGAAACCGGCGCCTGGCACTACCCCGATGAAGTTGCTGCAGAGAATGCAAGCTCTGGCCTCCGGCCATCGCTCACCGCGTCCTGGGTCTGACATCCCACCCGATCATCTGTCTTGGACGAATGCCAACATTCACTTCCTGCCTGAGCCTCAAAGTCGTTCCACGGAGGCGGACTGGGGCCATGACATGATTTGGCATCCAGGAGTCATCCAGCCGGCGATCCAAAAGGGTGAGTGGATCGTGGCGGTCGCTGTCCCAGAGGGAGGATGGATGCCACTCCCTCGCGGGTCGAAGTCTGACTTCCTCGACATCGCTAGAATTGCAGTCCTCCAGAAAGTGAGGGCCGAGAATGGCTCTTTCGCACGCGAAGACGTGTCTGTCATTTCCACAACCGGGCGATTGTTCACCGAACTTCAGGACAAGTGCTGGTTGGAGCTGACGGAGGACTACTACGACCTCGACATGAGCCCCTCGAAAGGAAGGGTGGACTGGAAAATCCCCCCTCCCAGTGGGATGCATGTAAGTATAGGGTCCCGGGGACTGGACAGTAGGGAGAACGAGGGCGACGAGGCTGGGGGCGGCAAACAAGTCCCGGGGTGACAACACGAGGGCGACGAGGCTGAGGGCAGGTCTCAGGGCGATAAGTGGAGGAAGGAGACACAGGGGAGGAATTGGAGGAAGGAGGGGATGAAGGGAGGAAGAAGAGGATGAAGGAGAGGAAGGGGAAGAAACGGAGTTGGCTGGGTTGCTAGGAGGGCAGGAGGGGGAAAAAGGTGAACTCGATACAGGAGACGACGAACGGACTTTCGGCGACGACGATGACAGATCTGGGGAGTCTTCTGACGGATCCGGGCAGCTGTACGGAGAACACCGCGAGGAAGACGACGACGATGATGACACGACACTGGGTATGGAGGCACAGGTGGTCACAAGCCTTTCGGCAGAACGTGATGACTATGAGGTCTAAGCAATGACGTCTGTCGTTGATCTCCAACACCGGTTCAACGAAACTCGTGTAGCAGTCAGCCTGACTTAACCGAGTGTGCGTTTTGACATCGAAGAAGTTATCGACGGCATCCTGGGCGACCACCACATGTCCGCGCAGCCGTCCTCGACGCCTGGTGTCGACGACCCTCTCGACGTCAAACCTTCCGGGGGATCTGTTGTCGATTTCTCGCCGACGAGCTCTCCGATGCTGCCGCCGACCATCACCAGCAGAGGAGAAGGCGGGATCGGGGGACTACAAGATGTCACATCCCCGAAAAAAACTGCCGCCGGCACTCAAGCTCTCGACGTCTGGCCTTGCCCGCGCGAACTTCGCCGATTAGGGAGCGGAGAGACAAACCAGCTGGTAAGCAGTGACAAACGCCACTTTGTCTGCGCGCCAGTGACCGCAGTGTCTGCCAATGCGCACGAGACAAAAACATGTGTGTTTTTGTTGAAGCGTTCTTTCACACGAGTGGTGGTTTTAGTCCGCCGGGATCCGCACTGCCAAGGCCGCTGCGTAACGCGGTTACTCTTTTGGTGCCTCGATTGGGAAAAGTTCGTCGAGATCCTGACTTCACAAATGTTTGGCCTCCGGGTTTGTGGCTTGTTGAGGTTTTCCCTTCTGAAGGGCGGGGGTGTCGATGTCGAACGCACTGCTCCTTTTGTTTTCCAGCGGGGCCTGCACGGAAGTATTCTCTATCTCTCTCATGGCTAAACGGGGCTCTGTAAATAGATAGGTCCTGCGTCTTCTACATTTCGTGGTACTTGAGTTGTCGTTTTCGTCGGGTTCGTCTTGGATTAAGTGAGTTCATTTTCCGTTTTCTCTTCCTTCGGTTGCACAGAGGTTGGGTTATCTCCCTTGGTTGGAAAAGTCCGCCGGGATCCGGACTTCAAAGATGTTTGCCTTCCGCTTTTGTGACTTGATATGCTTTTCCCTTCTGAAGGGTGGGGGTGTCGAACTCGAGTGCACTGCTCGTTTTGTTTTACAACGTGGCTCGTGCGGAAGTTCTCTCTCTCACACTCTCATGGCATGACGGGGTTCCGTAATTGCATGGGTCCTGCGTCTTTTAGATTTCGTGGTCCTTTAATTGTTGTTTCGTCGGGTTCTTCTTCGGAAATGTGTATTCACTTTCCGTTTTGTCTTTCTTCTGTTGTACAGGGGTAGGGTCGTCTCGAACACGGAGGCCCTCTAAATATCCAGAACACATATTGCATACAGTCCTGGGGTTGACGACAAAACACAAGGACATGTTAAAGGCGTCAGGGGTTGATGTCGAAATCGGGAAGGAGCATGTCATTGCCATTGAGGAGTGTTTTTCCCTTCTGCCCCCAGAGAAAGGGACATATCCACGATCTGTGACTAGGGGTCAGGCCATGTATGAGAAATACTTAGCTACTCGTCGTGCGATGAAGGAGAATCCTTAGTGTTCCGTTTCTCACTTCCCCCCCCTGTCCTTTGCTCGATGTTGTGCAGTGCGGGCCACGGCACCTGGAACAGCAGTGACTGCGATTGGAAGCTTGCGGGTTTTGGACGACATTGAACGAGGCTTGGTGCCATCTGACACTGTACTCTCGACCCTCCACGATGGTCAGTTGCGAATTGCAGCGAAGGATATTATCACCCTCTCACTTACCGACGGCAGGGTGAATGATGAGGTGGTCAACTTTTACATGGCGCTATTAGGAACGACCGCATATGGGACAAGTGACATCCCGCCAGGCCTTCGAGTCTTCACCTTTAATTCTTTCTTCTTCAGTAAACTGCAACTTCAAGGGCACGGCGGGGTGGAAAGATGGGCTAAAAACGTGKATSTGCTTRAATATRATATTATCTTTGTTCCAGTCATCAAAGATAATGATCACTGGATCCTCCTTTCCGTGAGCTTGAGAGATAATGTTCTTGAGATTTTCGATTCTTTTCCTTGCGTTGTAGTCGATTCTAGTTTTTACCTTAGTGTTTTCGAGTTGATCGTACACTATTTGGAATGTCAAACATCACAAAGGCGCTCGTACAGGCGCTGGAAGTCGCTGGCAGCAAATGTTGTTATAGAGGGAGTTCCAAAACAAGTGGATGGAGTTAGTTGCGGGGTGTTTATGTTGATGTTTGCGACACTGTTGCAACGTGGCGATCGACCGCCTTTCAGGTTCTCTTGTAAAAATATTCCGTACATTAGACGACAACTGGCATCATGTGTCTTGGAATGCCGTTGTCTTTGATGGATTCGATTGATTTGCAAACTTCTGTTTCAGAATATTTCATATTTTAACTATCGCTTTCACAATGACATTACTTTCTTTCAGTGTTGCGGGTTTGAGTTGTCTTTGGTATGTTGACTGCCAGTTTGGTGTCGCGTATTGCCTTCGGAATCTCTGTCAGGTCTGGCTCGTCTGTCGTGTCATTACATTCATCGCATTGCAGTCCTCGTTGCAAATTGTGTCCAGGTCATCCAAGGTTGTGCATATAATTCACCTCGAAATGATATTCGTGTGTGTGGTGCGACATGACGAATTGGAGTGTGGATGCAAGACAAATCTCGGCGAGTGTGTGGGTGTGAGGTTCGTTATGCAAAGAGTGAAAGACTAGTGACATCACGTCTCTTGTGTGCATAGACAATCATGTACTTGTCACCGCTTGAATTACATGTGACCGATAATTTTGCGTTCTTGACCGGGAAAAATAAATTGTATGTCAAAAATAACAGTTACTGTTTGTACTTCTAAAGAAGTTTGAATCTCTACAACATCCAGACAACCGCCTCGGACGAGACGATAGCCATGCATGTACAACTCACACGAGGATGCAATCATGACACATTGCTCGTCACAATTATGGAATTGAAGTTTAACAAGTACGGATCCCAGCACACTTCCGCACTGGGTTCCCTGATGCGCGTGGCTGTCGTTATTCGTTTATGAAGTTTAACAAGTGCGGATCCCGACACACTTCGGCACAAGATTCACGACACATTTTTGAAGTTCAACAAGTGAGGCTCCCAGCACACTTCCGCACAGGGTTCCCCGATGGGCGTGCCTGTCGTTATTCGTTTATGAAGTTTAACAAGTACGGATCCTAGCACACTTCCACACAGGATTCCCAACAGTGCCATGTTTTTGAAGTTCAGCAAGTAAGGATCCCGGCACACTTCCACACAAGGTTCCCGTGCGGCGTGCCTAACATGTACGGGTTTGAACACGCTTCCTCATTTGGGATATCATTTATAAAGTTTCACAAGTACGGATCTCAGCACACTTCTGCATGTGCTTAAGCCGTGGATGGGCGTGCCTACGTTGCTTGGAATGCAGCCAAAAATGAATTTGTTAGAAAGAGGACACAGTATAATGTCCTATTTTAACGAATAACATGTTGTGTACATTTGAAGAGCGAGAGATATAGAAAGAGAGAGAGAGAGACAGAAACAGCGAGAGACAGAGTGTCTCAGAGAGACTGTACTTAATTTTYTCGAGACGCCGCACGGACGGCGCAGGGTCGAACACACGCGGAGATCATCAGCCTCACTTTTAAAAGTATTTCAGACGATCGTTGCAGAAGAGCACCAAGGCAATGTGATTTTCCTAGATAAGCGAAGTTCGGATCTATCCGAGATCACTGGAGATTGATAGAGAGGAAGCCCGCAAGAAATGGCATATTAGCACGCCAGAGGCTGAGAAATGGAAAAGAGAAGCATCGTATAGTCACCCACAACATTTCGTGTTACGAACGTATCCGAAGTGTCGAACTAGTATAGACCCTTCAGTTTGAAACTTCCCTTGTGCTTTTTGGGACACAATTCAAGAAGTATTTTTTGCGAAACTGAGAGAGAGAGAGAGAGAGAGAGAGAGAGAGAGAGAGAGAGAGACAAACATTGTACCATCATCCACCAGATTTCTGATCCATCCGGAGTGTCTCGGCTGTGAGTCGCTTCGCTACGATCTAGACAAAGCTGACAGAGATAGAAAGAGCGCGTCAAAGAGATGGAGAAGGAGACAGAGACAGAGACAGGGACATAGACAGAGACACAGAGAAAGACAGAGAGAGGGTGGATGATCGCACTGAATTTTCTTTTCATGTCGACGTGGCACAAGAGACGCATGTTCGAGGAACACGCGAAAACCACAAGTGTAGCTGTGCAAGAGTTGCAAGGTTTTCGTTAGGCGAGAGTAAGCCAAGTTCGGATGCATCCGAGATTACAGGGGAGAGGGAGTCCGAAGCAAACAGCAAATGAGCGCACTAGACACAGCTGTGGGTGGGTGTGTGCGAGAGAGAGAGAGAGAGAGAGAGAGAGAGAGAGAGTTGATTCTTGAATTCGTTTTTCGGAAATTGATGCGTTCACCAATCATACAATGGTCGTTTGTTCATGAGTGTCAGCTCAATTCAGTTTGTGTCACTTTGTAGTAACAATCGACTTCGCCTTGTGATTTATCCTTCCTTCACCACATCCAATTTTGTCCAATCATGCAATTGTATTTTCAGCCGCGCAACCTTAATTCAAATCTCGTCATATTGGAGCAGCCATTGGCGTCACCTTTTGGGTTCTCCCTCTCGGCACATTCAAATTTTTCATTGTATTGGGGAATGCATAGGAACCGAATGTATGAATGCTCGTGCAGAAAGGGAGCTTTGCCGGGCCAAAGAATTGACAACATTCAATGTCGGAATCACAAAGCACACAGTGGAGAGGGCCAGACGGGCCATCAAATGTATAAAGAGGCCCGTGTGTTGTATTTTTTTCAAGGTGACGCCTCACAACATTCAAAGTGAAAATGCATAGATGAGTGTAGACGACGGGGGAGGTTCGAGAGAGAGGCAGAAAAGCATAGAGTTAGTTCAAGTCCGGATGCATCCGAGTATGCAGGCAGAACATCACACCACACAAGGCGCAAAATGACGAAAGCGAGATATTCAATCACGAAACAGGCGCCCAACAACGGGGACGTTCGTGATAATTGAAATCCAATGAGAAAGAACAATATTGTCGACGACAAACACGCCGGGGACATGACAAGCTCACCCGGAGATATCCTGGCA